TTTTTTTAGTTAACTTTTATCATAATGTAGCTAGGCAAGACTGGCTGCAGAGGCTTTAAGTGGCAGATGAATTCTGGGTGTGGTAGTGAGCGCTGGTGTAATTCGCCGGAATCTGTTGTTCATTTGCTGCATTCTCCAACTGTACAATGTCATTCATCTGAACTGATGTTTTCTGTCATCGGGTCAGAATACATTTTTGTTGACGCTAGTCGTAGGTTGCGTTGGAAGACCATTACCATAGTTGTCTTGCAGTCTTCTTCGCCCTGTGATTTTTTATGTTTTGCCACTTTCAGAAGTAAAGTTATGGAATTTCATTCGTTTAACAAGTGTTTGTTTTATTGGTTGGAGTATATGTTTTCTGGTTTTTTAATAGGAGCTTTGTTCTTAAGAGAATCGCATAAGAGGAAGGATTTTTAAAACATTAACTGGGAGCAGAGCTTCAGCAGCGAGAGTTTGATGTTATACATCCGAGGTTTAAGGTGTCGACGGCACCTGCACGTGCCGCGCGAATGTTATAGGCAGTTGCCCAGCACCCTGACTTGTCGTTTGCGGATGGCGCTTGGCAGCAGGAGGGATAGTTAAATCAAAAACTGTTTGCCAAAAGTCCCGGTGGTTACAGTACCATTCGAAGCGATTGCAGAAGTGCATCATTATTACCAAAGCAACTTCTTTAACGGAGTCGTTTGAAGTTTTTTCGCGATTGTAATCTGTTATCTTGCTAAATTTGGATTTTTTAATAGTGGGGAGTCGTTGGCGGCCCTCGTGTACAGTTTATCTAGTGGTTTTTTTAATTTGGCGTTATACATTAGGAATGGGCAAAAAAATTAACACGAACACTAGCATTTTTATCCTCAATTCAATTTACCAATCCAACGAGATTAGCCGTCCTTCTAGCTTAAAAAATGTTCTGTGCTTTAGGAAGCATTTTGCACGGTCAGAATCACTACCACTCTCAAAAAAGGACCAGGAAGTTGCATCATTCTGCTCGAGGACAAGAACCTCGGTGGTGTAGTTCACTAACATCAAAAGCACCTTAAGATTTTGAATGACATTAATTAAAGCATTAGGAAGCGTCGAAGTTCGTTTACACAATAGCTTCCTTCTATGGCCGCAGAATGGTAGTCTTGATAAAGACGTTCTGTGAGGTCAGAGTCAAAGTTACGCAGTTCGGCACCCTCACTACCTGACGATTTTGTAGAAACAAAATGATGTCAAGTTCTCAAATTTCTTAATTACGCGAGCAACCATGAAACTTCACTTCCGTAAGCAGTTCGCTAACGTTTATTAAAATGCCACAGAGCAAAACCTTAAACATTATTTAAAGGCTGCACTTCTGTTTGTCCTGAACTTCTGGGTCCCCATTTGAACTATTATAATCCTTTGCTCCTGACCAGAACATACACTCCACTACACGTTCAGAAAGCGCACTTAGAATCCTTCAGAGATTGTCGTTCATGAATTTAGATTTTACTCACAAAAAATGTAACAAAAAGTTTAATCAAAAGCAGCCATTTACAGACATTCTATTACGGTAAAAGAAAAAATGCATAATTCAATGAAAACTGGTCCAGTATTCAAAAGACTCCCATTCTAGAGGAGAGGTGAACACAAGGAAGAACGAAAACAAAAGGACTAATAGAAAAATCCTCCAGTTTGAAGTAGTAAGGCTGAGAAAGTGAAAATATTAATACAGATAACAATAATTGTGACAACAATTGCAAACATGATCTTCAACGGAACTCATCTAAAAACTATTACACAAAAAAAAAAAAAAAAAAAAAAAA